ATTACAAATTAATACAAATTTTTGCAATAATGCAAATAAAGATTTCGTATAACACAAAAAATTTTTACGGGTCCCTGGCCAGGGCAAAAACGGACACGTGATTTAAAACGTGATATCGATATTTTAATAGTTTTGCATTACCGTGTTGTTTTTGGACACCTTTAACAAAAAATGCTCAGAGCAATTCGGTAAACATAATCATATATTTGTTATTTTAGATATTCAGAGCTTGTACACGCTTGGACGTGGACATGGATGTCCAAAAAAAAAAACGTTGGTTGTCAAAAACGTATATTATCTGTACGTAACAATTAGGGATTATTTGCTAATCGGGTCTTTATTATAATAAATATGCGAACAGGTTGATACGAGCATTTGTAAACCACCCCAAAATTTGAAAATTTTGACTACTAATATATAAATATAGAATTTGACTAACGTTCCCCAAGTTATGACGCGTCATTTTAATAAATTCCTATGTCTAATGAGATGCGTCGTGAGTGGAAGATGGGTTAGCCTGTGGGTAAGATTGGTTATACGCGATATCAGTACAGATCTGGGGTTCAAAAAAATTTTTCGGGGTTTAAACATTGATTGATTAATATATAATTTGGTAAATAAAATTTTAAATGCTTGGATTTGGTGACCAATTGTCTGTTTAATTCCGTATATTTAATTTAAAATTTTTATACAAATTAAACAACTTTATAACAACTGCAAGCAAATAAAACAAATTTACAGTATATCGATTTAAATATTTTATTCTTCTAAACAACTAATTATTACGTAAAAGTTAAATAATAAAACTTTTTAAAAAAAAACCCAGTTTCGTTAATCTATATACAAAAACTAACCAATTGTAATAAAGCCCGCTCGATAAATAAAAAAAAAACTTCTGAATTTAGAAAAGACCTCCGTGCACGTGATAATCAATGAATTTCTGCATTTCTTATCGTTATCGTTATTGTTCAGATTATTATGAAAGAATTGCCATTATAAAATAAAATTTCGCAAGGGAAAAAGGAGTTATAAGCAATTTTAAAAACTGTTATTCCTGATCGTGTTACATTACTGCATTATACTTGATTGATGTGATGTTTGTTTGAATTTAGCATGATATATAATTTGACACATGAAGTATGCAAAATTGGATCATCTCGATTCCATTGTGATATATTGTATAAATATTTAACGCTAATTACGAATAAAAAAAAAAAAAATTTCCCATCTTTTTCTTTTTTTCCTTTTACTTGAAAAGAAAAAAATGTCAGATACATTAGAAATTCCACCAAAAATCAGATTAATTCTTCGACATGAATGGTCAAAACTTAATCCTAATTTACCAAAATTAATAGAAACTTTAACCAAAGAACTTGGTTCATCAGAATGTTGGCATAAAAAATCCACATTTTTTGAACATTTATTTCATGTTTATCAAATGTTAACAATTTGGAATCAACCACAATATTTAATTGATTGTGGATTATTTCATTCAGCTTATTCAAATTCTTATGTTAATTTAGCTATTTTTAAATTAAATAATAATATTAATGAACGTAAAAAACTTGAATCTTTAATTGGTGAAAAAGCTGAAAATTTTGCTCATTTATTTTGTATTATTCCAAGACATGATTTAATTTTTAACCAAATTTTTGGTAAATTTAATTTTAATGATTTAGATAATGATGAAAAATTAAGAATTATTATACCTGATGAAGGAATTAAGGTTCAAAATATTAATACTAATGAACCAATAATTTTAGATAAATTTACTTTAGCACTTTTTTTAATTTTTACAATGGCAGATTTTTCTGATCAAATATTTGGTTGGCAAGATGAATTATTTGAAAATTATGATGGTCAATTATTATTTTATCAAAAATCAAATGATGAATTTAATTTTTCTTTATGGCCTGGTGATTGTAAACCTGGTCTTTGGTTGACTTGCTTATCTAGGATTGGAAAAATTGTAAGATGGTGCCTCAAAGATTCCGATCCTCAATTAATTCCTCCGGTGTTTAATAACTGCACGGTTACACTCGAACCTTTGAATTTGATTAAATCAAGAGATTTATACTGGGATGTTGTTACTATTAATAATAACTTACGTAACGTCGAAGCTATACCAGAAATTGAAAAGAAATTGAAAAAGAGGTGGTAGAGAAATTTCAAGAGGCAAAAAGAAAAAAAAGGCCAAAGAAAACTCTCCAAAGTTGACAGAATATTTGCCAGACCTTGTAGAAACCTTCTTCGGTATAGAAAGAAAAACAAAGCTAGAAAAGAGAAAAAGATTCATTCAAGAGATAATAAACAAAAATAAGAACAAAGAAGAGAGACTCGATCTGAAAAAAATGCTTCAAATTTTTCATAAAAAGTTCTTTAAATGAATTTGGAAGTTCTGATATGAAGTTATTATAGAATAGGAAGAAAGACAGAAAATTATCTGCAAAAAAAAAAAAAGTATGAGAAGGGCCAAGAAAGAAGGACAAAGAAAAAGAAACAGAATTTAGATAAGTCAGACAAGGAGAAGCCTGAAGTGTTAGAGACTAAACAAGAAGTAGAAAAAGAATTATATAAAGAAAAAGCACAAAAAGTATATAATGAAGCAAAAGCATATATAGTAAACTTCATCTAAAGAGTGATTAGGCTCCTTTGGATATCTCTGACAAGACCAAGCAAAAGTGAATAATGGTAATCTTGACAAGCTAACAACAGGCTTTTGTTGATCTTGCAGA